AACTCAGGAAACCCACGTATTTAACTCACTGCAGTCAAAAGCAGGAGAGTGAAACGACACAGAGTAAGGGTTGAGGAACATGTTCAGAGCTTCCACAAGCCTTGGACTGAATAAAGACCCATCTACATAATCTAGATTCAGCTCAAACCTCACAAAACTATACATACAGGTAGAAATATATGTCCCCTCTTGGAGAGCCTGGAAAGCTATCGAGAGTATCTTGCCTGCACGGCAAAGCCTGGCAAGCGACCTGTGACACATATTCGATACGTCAAACATAGTAACAAGTCTCACAATGTTACTGGGCCCACTCAAGCAAATAGATGAACAATGGGAGGACAGTGACAGTGACAGAAATATATGTGTACATAACTATCCACTTTCTTGTCATCTGCATGACCAAATATACCCTTTTCCTGATGAGTCACAATATTGCATAGACGAAGAGAGATGAGTGAGAATGAGGTGTTTGTTGGCTGTGCTGACATGATCTGACCAGGTCTTTACACGACCGAGACTCTTCAATTTAATGTGAAGCTCACAGGCCTGACAGTTACTTGTAAGTCACACAAATCGTAAAGATAACTTTATCCTTTGGTTGACACAAAGTACGTCATGGAATTAGAAATGTTTATTCAGAATATAAGAACGTTTGTAAAATATTATAAATGTCTCTGTATAAATAAATGGAGTCTCCTTTAAAACAATTCTATATCAAATAACACAAAGTGGAAATTTTACAGCAGCTAAAACTAATAGGCATCTGGAAACATTTAAGTATACAAGAATTAAAAAATTACAAAGTATAGTACAGTGTTTACTGGCTACTTTAAAATGAGACTTGCGGTACAAATAGTAGAACAGTAATGACAGATGAAACTTAAATCACATGTTCTTTATAACATAGTACATTCAAGCAGATTTTTCTAATAATTCAAGTGGTTTAAAAGAACACTTTCAAATAATAGAAAACTTAAAATCACATGCAAAGAAGTCTTGATGGAATGTCTGAAAACCGAAAAAGAGTGGGCATGTTTTTATCACCTTTGCAGTAGGTCCCAGCCGAGAGGTAAGATTAGGGGTCCTCGTTCATTTGGCAGATGGTACATGGAGCACTATACATGACTACTAGGAATTCCACAAACAGAACATTTCCCACATGGACTTGATTTGCAGTAAGTGCAAAAGTAAACAGTAGAGTAACCAATGAAGCAGGTGATCAGTGTAACAGGGAAAGTGTGTGTTCTGCTGCTGCCGTTTCTGAGTCTTAGGAACTGAGAGGCTGCTCCCTGACTGTGGGGAAGCCTGTAGAACCACTGCCAGGACATGGTTAGTCCCCACCAGTGAGTGCTGAGCCTCACCAGAGGCAATGTGATGCTCTCCTCCCCACTGGCCGTGCTGTTGGGCCCTCACTCTTTCTGCTTGTTGGTAACTTCATTGCCCTCTCATTGAAGCTGTAGCATCAGATTCATTGGTAATTCTAGTTTTACTTGTAAATGTTAGTGGCTCGAAGCCTAAGGCATAGGTCTTGGTACAAATGTGGAAAGGGATTTTGTGAGTCTGTGAAACAGAAGGTTCAGAGTTAACTAACCTGTCCTATAGACATGAGGCTTCAGTGAGCTCTATCAGGCTTTAATGGGCTTCAGCCAGGGCTGTATGCAACCATAGCCTAGTTTGTCAGTAACAAGTTAGGCTCCTGTAAAGTGCTCCCCAGCTTCTGAACACCACGGCAGCCCCCTGTATCATTTGATTGTATCATTTCTTGTTAAATAGGCCATTTTGGAAATTGGACAAGTAGAAAAATAACTTATTATAGTTTACAGAAGCTCTTTTATAATCATGTCCTACAAAAAAAAAACACCAACAAAATACTAATTTTGCTCACCTGCTTCCCCAAAATTTCTTGGTAATCCTATAACTGCACTAATTAAATTCAGTGCAGGCATTTCAAAGAATTTTTTCCCTTTGACCTCTCCTTTTGTCCTCTAAAAACTGTCTAACTGTAGAGGTTGTAGACACAGTACAGCGTGTACTGCCTGCCTTGCATGGGGCCAGTCTGAGTTCGATGCCTAGCATCCCATCTGGTTCTCTGTGTCCCTGAGTACCACCGGGTGTAGCCTCCCTTAAACAAAACAAACCAAAATAAACTTGCTAAGTGTAGCTATGTTTGCTGTACCTAGAAGTGGGTGGTACAGCTATGAACTTCGTGTGATCTTTATTTCACTTTAAATAGTTCCATTCCTAGACGGATGAGACATACTTCCAGCTGTGCATCTGCAAATGGGTTAAAGGTCTCTGGAGCTTTATGACTTTTAGAAGTTGTTTAAAGAATTTTCTGTAGTCCTGATGTCTTTCTCATCATGTCACTTAAAACATGTGCAAGATATCCCAAATTTTGAGAGCTCCAAGTTAAGAAAATGAACTGATAGAATTAAAAAGTAATTGCAGAATAACTTTTCTGAGCCAACAGAATCAGTTCCCATGCAGAAGGGAATAAGCAATTATGAGGATTTATATAGTTTGAGGTTTTCCTTAGAATAGTAAAATTCAGTCATGATTCTAACATTTTTTCCAAAGAAAATGGTATTGCCCTCCCTTTCTGGAGCAGCGGTGTCAAGGATCCTATTTTAAGTTCTCAAACATTCCTATAAAAGTGGCTCTGAGGTAGGTGTTAACAAGTCCATGCATCTTGACAGAGAATTCAGTAATCATGATTAACTGAATACTTCAGTTTTTCTGTAGGATGTGTATTAACTTCAGAAACCTAAAAGGCCAGAAGATGAGTGCCTATGGAACAGTAATTCTGCCTGTATGGACAACTGATCACATTGTTATTAGGAATAACCTCTCTCCAAGGGAAGTTATCTCAAAGGGAAAGAGGCACCTTGGAGGCCACAGCAGCTTGGTAGCTGGTTACCATGGGTTTGGAATCTCAGATTCCTGCCACACACACACTAATCTCTTTTGCTTTAGATTTTCTGTCACAACACTGCAGAGGGAAGTGAACCTTCAGGGAACTATTAAATGGGTTCATCATTCCTATTTCTCTAAGAATCAAAGACAATTCAGAAGGTGACTGCCTGGATGGAGTAACCACTTGAAATGAAAACAATGAAAAATATGAAATTCTGGATGTGTTTAACCTCAAGCAAACTTGAGTCAGCATCATTATGTAGCCCTGAAAGGGATGTCAATATACACCAGCTCCTAATCTGAGAAAAAAAATAGGCTACTAAAATAAAAAATTATCCATGCAGAGATTGCAATAATTTTACTTAAATCAGCAGTTTCATCAGCCTTACAGTGAACATAAATAATGCCTGCTGGGTCACCTTTGCCTTGTGGTTCGTCTTAAGGAAGTATATGAAAAATAGGAAAGAAATGAATAACCTTCATTCTCTGTATTTAGAAAAGTAACCATTTTACTGGGAAGGTTGTTTTCACCCATTAATACATTTTAAAAGTGTTATGCTGCAGTAACACTTTGGGTTGAAAATGAGGCCAGATGAGGCTGGCAGTAAGAGGGGCTGTTAGGAGGTGCCATGGCCACCCGGGGCTGGAGGATTTATGGTTCATGAAGAGTGGATTCTCTGTTTCAACCTGGAGCAAGGATGGCAGCCCTGGAGTCTATTCCTGTGCTCGCTGCACATTTCATTGTTGGTGAGAATGAGAAGGGGTGCCCAGGCGAGAGAAGCCAACTGCCGATATTGTTCTGTGCGCCCAGCGTGCCAACCGAGGAGACTTCTCAGGGCAGCTGGGAACATGAGCTGTTGGCTGACGCTTCCCCCACCACAGCCCAAAATATTTACCTTGCGATTTGTCATAAGGTGACAAATTTTTTTATCTGAGGAATAAAAAAAATTTTTTTTTTAATTGCTTAAAAGAAGCCTCTTTGTTTAGATTCATCCAGAAACAGAAGCTCGTGGGCATTTGGACAGTGATTAAAGCATACAACACTGGCACTTGCAGACTGATACCATTGGCTTTGACTTTTAGTCTATGGACAACCTCATTGAAGACTTGAGAAATAAAGGTGATTTTGCTTTGGGATAGAATTATTCTTCCCTTCCAGATGGGCTGGTGGGAGGTGACTGTCACATTTCACTGAGGAACTCGTGTCATGCATTCTGAAAGCACACCTTTGGCTCATGGACATCTGCAAAACTGTGAGCTATGGTGGCAGGGAACATATTTTCCACAGCAGACTGTGGGTCAATCTCCAAGCACAAAAGAGAAATAGCAAGTGGGTCTTTCAAATACAGGGGTGCTACAAGGACCGGAAGACTTAGGGCAGCCACAGAAGGGTGGAAAGAAAGTGAGGGCATCAGATAGTGAAAGCAGAGAAAGAGTAATGAATTTAAACAGGAAGACCTTCAGGAATGAAGGTGGTACTTTGGTCCTGGGTGTGTGCTGTTAGCATTTTGCCAGAAATAAACTCTTTGAAGCACCGTACATGACCCCCTGAGGAGTAAGAGGCTTTAACAGCCTTTCCCTCACTCTGCCTTTGTATGGCAGAAGTCGAGCCTCGAACTGAGGGTTCAAGGAGCAGGCTCTAGGGAGGGTCACCCTGCAGGGTGTTCACACCTGCTCAGTGTCCTGACAGTCCTGCTCCTGGAGAAACAGGCAGCTCCAGAGCCCATAGATCCTCTGGTAGCTGAGCTCAGATTTCACATGGAACAAGAATTTTGTCCCCTGGAGTAGGGGGGAAGTACAATAAATCTGCTCAGGAAGAAACCTGTGATAACTCTACATGTATTAACAGGACTCTCAGGCTGAAGAGGGGAAAGCCTCAAGAGCCTACCAGGAGTGTTGTGGGGGTGTTCAGACATGGCCTCAAATTGCCCTGTGTGGAACCTCAACAGGATGTGGGAAACAAACCCACTGTGCCAAACCAACCTACAGCCTCATCAGGCATGAGGCTGGGAAGCCAGAGCCTGTGGGCTGTGCCAACAGCTCTCTGCAGGCTGGATACCCTCCCCTCCCTACCCCTGAGTCCGTTTCCCCACGGAAGGAGCAAAGCAGAGAAATGCGACTGTCGCAATTGTCTACGGAAGAGCATGGGAAATTGTCAGGGCCCAGGATTCCACTAATGTCCCTCTGAAAGAGTGGGCCGGGCGAGTGCAGGACGCAGAGGCTGGAGGTGCCGAGTCATGCACGGGGCAGGGAGCTGGCCTGCCTGCTGTCCCCGCCAGGTCCTTCTTTGGAGTCACAGTGATGTCTCATTGGCCTGCGGCCTCGCGTGCTCCTCCTCCAGCAGGGAGATCCTTTGCTTGAGGACCCTCACCTGGCTCTCATGTCTCTCCACCATGGCCATCATCTGAGACTCCAGCTTCTTCAGTTTGTTCTGATGCTTCTTCTTGGCTTTCTCATAGGCAGCCACTAGGTTGCTTTGTAGGAATGGGGGAAACAAGAATGAAAATTCATCCAGAGACAAACACAGTCCCCATCTCATGTATACTCAGACCCCAGGGGACCTGCAGAAGACGGCTGACTGCACTCCTCTGCAGGGAAGACCTTAAACTCAGGGCCAGGACAAGAGTGCCGGGCGGGCAGGTGCATCCCTGGCATGTGTGGGAACCAGAGTAATGTCCTCAGGGCTGCTGACAGACCTAAGATCCACACGGTTCATCTACTGGTTTAGCCTTCATTAACTCGACCTCTCACACTTTACAGGGGCTTAGCCCAGCAAGCCAGGCAAGAAGGCAAGAGCTGGAGGCCAGAGTTCTGATTTTTAAGTGTAAACAGTCGGTCTATTTGTTCCCAAGGCTGCTTGCCACAGGAACAAGTTACAGAAGCATGTTTGTTCTTAAGGGCCACACAGCCTATGTGAGCCTGCCTGGTGCAGCTCTGACTGAGAGCTGGGAGGAAGGGTGGTCCCTGTGCCTGGAGCCACACCCAGTCCCTCTGCATGTCTGCGCAGACACAGAGTGGGTGCCCTTTCCCGGCTACAGGCGAGGAGGCGGATTTCACCATCTGCTTCAGAGCACTAGATGTACTTCCTGTCACAGACTGACAGTCTAGATGTTTTTCAAGAAACCAGACATCAAAAGAGATTTGTAAAATGTTCAAAACAGTGCCACCCACCACTTTTAACAAGTGAAAATGCCATTTGCAGGTAGTGAATTTATGGCTATTTGTAGCACTGCAGCATTGTCCTCCCGTTGTTCATTGATTTGCTCGAGCGGGCCCAGTAACATCTCCATTGTGAGACTTGTTGTTACTGTGTTTGGCATATCCAATACGTCACGGGGAGCTTGTCAGGCTCTGCCGTGCAGGTGAGATACTCTCGGTAGCTTGCCAGGCTCTCTAAGAGGGGCGGAGGACTCGAACCTGAGTCAGCCGGGTCAGCCGTGTGCAAGGCAAACGCCCTACTGCTGTGCTATCGCTTCAGCCCAGCTGTTTGTAAAAGAAAGAAATATTTTAAAAAAAACACTATCTTGGTTTTATATTTTTAGGTGAGAGGGAGAAAAATATAGAAGCTTGAGACAGCTGTCTTACATTGTTTACTAAAGTATTCTGGAGGATATTAATGTGCAAATCAAAGATATTGCCGTTGCCATTCTCACTTGGCAAACAAACTAACTTGTGTGTGGTAAGGCCAGGCCTGTGAAGTAGGACAGGCTGGTAGGCTGTGTGCCGGAGTGCCAGCACCCTTGGTACCTGTTGGCTCTCTTGAGGTCTGTGACGAACTCTGCTGACTGCTGGTGTCGAATCTCACTGCTCTTGGTCAGTCTCTCCAAGGCGCTGACCAGCTCTTGAACTCTGGCTTTTAATTTCTTCTCTCTGTGAAGGAGACCAGGGGGGCCGTGAGCAGCTGAGGTGGAATGGAGGCCACGGAGCTGGGGGTGTGGGCAGAGAGGAAGGCCCCACGCTGAGGAGACTGGGTTCAAAAGACTTTCTTTTAGTTTTTGGATCACACCTAGTGATGCTCAGGGCTGACTCCTGGCTCTGAGCTCAGGGATCACTGCTGGCAGTGCTTGTGGGACCATATGGGATGCCAGGGATCAAAATGAGTTGGCCAAGTCCAAGTCCTTACCCACTGTACTATCTCTCTGGCTCTGATAATACAACATTTTCCAATCACCAGTATCTTTTGAGGATTAAAAAACTTTCATCTTTCCATAGGCCTATTAAGATTTCTCTTTAAATTATTTTTTAACTTTCCCCTTACTCTGTAGGAGTAATCCATTTTCTGTAAACTTCAAAATGTATTAGCATAGAATTTTCCAGACTATTAATTTTTATAATGTATATTACAAAGCCTTTGAAGAGGTATTTTTAGCAACTTATTATTAGCAAAATTTACAACTTTGTGGAATGCCAGTAGTTTAGCTTTATTCAGACTTTTTAATGCATGTAGATATCACCATGTCCGCAATAAAAAACAGAAAGGGAACAACAAATGGCCAAAAGCACTGATTGGAAATGGAGATTTTTTTCTGTAGAAATGAGTGACTAAGGAGGGTGGCCAGTATTTGGGGGTTCCTGGATAATGGTGGAGGGAGGGGCACTGTGGTGACGGTGTGGAGCTGGACTGCTGTGTGTGTAAAAGGTGTAACAAACAGTACTGGAAATCACAGTACCTATTAAAAATGTTAACAAAAAAATTTAAAAACGGTTAATTCAAAAAGAAATTGAATTTGAGACTCAATACAAAAAGAATGTAAAAGATCTAAGTAAGTGCTGTCCCCAGGACCACTGAGGCCAATTCCTCTCCAAAGGCCAGAACGAGGTCCCGCAGATGGGTACACAGGGAATCTAGCCCATAGGGGCTTGCTCTGCGTTCCCTTCACTCCTCAGGACTCCTGGGGGTCTCTGAAGCACTCTGGGCAGCACTTGGCCCAGCTGTGGAGGCCTGACAGGGGCTCAGGTCAGTGGTGCTGGGGGGCCACCAGGGTCACACCTAGTGGTCTCCCGGCAGTATCACGGTCATATCTGGTGGCTCTCATGGTATCAGGATCACACCGGGTGGTCTCTGGGGATTGAACCTGACACCTCTCAAGGCCCATGCTCCAGCCCTCTCTGACTCGGGGGTTAATTTTTGGCTTTTGGGCCACACCCAGTGGTGCTCAGGGATCACTCTGGCAGGGCTTGGGGAACCAATGGAGTACTGGGAATCAAACTTGGGTTGTCTGTGGGCAAGACAAACTATCCCACTGTACTATCTCTCTGGCCCCTGAGGTTGGTGAAAGTTACCACCATTTTCAGGAGTGGCAGAGTTGTGGAGTTGAGGGCTGACCTGCACTGCAATTGGGTGCTGGACAGTTGGCCAGGCTGAGTGCCCAAAGAGCCCTGCGTCGTAGTGTGGAAGGACGGCTGTAGTGTCCCTGAAGGAAAAGGTGGGTAGCCATGGTGAGCGGGTGGGGAGGGGACACCCAGGGCTCAATGGTGGAGCCAGGCACCCAGCTGCCGGAGGCCCTAGCACAGAGCGCATGTCAGCTGCCTGGGCCAGGTCCGGCAATGATGCACAGGAGAACTGTCCACGCTGCTTTGGAGGGGGCTGAGGCCTCTGTCCTGCAGCACCGGCCCCAGTGTCCACTCCTGGTGACAGGCCCATCCTCTCACTGCTGTGTACCCTGTAGCCTAGCTGCTTGGCATTCTGGGACCGGTGCACGCTACCTACCCTCTGCTGCTGTGGTCCATCTGCCCAGGGCAGCTCGGCCCGCAGGTCATGTCCATCCTTCCCTGTCAATGCTCTCCACCCCCTCGGACTTTCCTGAGAACAGCCAGGTGAGCGAGGGTGGCAGAGCTGCCTGCAGACTGGCCTGGGTTAGGGCAGCTACCATGGCCACAGCCTCCGCCGCCCTCTGTCCTCTGCTCCCATCTCCACAGGGCACTAGGCATGCTTCCCTGTCACCCCGCCTGGCCTGGAGAAACCTTTGGGGTCCCGCTGGGAGGCGGGGGCTGGGCTGACCTGCACTGTTCCCCAGTGCCGCACTCAAAGCACTGCTCCCCCATCAACACTGATCCCAGCCTACCTGTCACCTCTTCAGAGAAGCCCGCTCTCACCACGACCAAAACAAACATTAGGGTGACAAACACCTTACTGTTTTGTTTCCTGTATATTAGTGCTGAAATCTGTATTTAATGTTTGGGGGGGAAAAAACTCAGCTACACAACAGTGCTGGATCCTATCACCTTAGTTATTTTTTTCTCTGGACATCTCCACAATCTGCATCTAGAAATCCAGCTGTGGGCAGGGACTGTGGCTGGACAGTGATCCTGCCCTCTCCCAGGGGGGTACCGCGGCGGCCTCACAGTCGTGGAGTTGGGGGAATGTTCTTAGATGGCCACATACTGACCCTGGGGGAGCCCAGGGGTCTGAGCGAGCTGCTGGGGGGTGCTGGGCCCAGGGGGGCTCGTGATACCCCTGCTGGAGGGCCAGCCCATGGGACTGAGGATGAGAGCTCTCCGGAGAAGGCAGTCTGCAGGCAGAGAGGGCTGGGTGCAGCTGCATTTTGCCAGATGCAGGAGCAAGGTGGTGATGGGATGCTCCAGCCCATGCTTTTTGGCTCAGGCTTTCCCACGCATATCTGCAGTGTTCTCATGTGTACCTGCAATGCCTGCCCCAATGTGAGGGGATACTCCCTCACTCAGCCTTTAGGTCATCCTGGGTATCCTGCCCTTTGAGCACTGGGATGACAGAAATGAAGAAATCCTGTTACCCAGGCAATGGCAGAGCAACCCTGGCTTTACTGGGAGTAAAGCACCAGACTTTACTGGAAGGCCCTGTGGGCCTGGGGCTCAGCAGATAGCTGCCTTACAGGGTCCCCGTGGTGAACCGAGAGATCACAACCCACCAGCATGCGGAAGTTCTCAGCACAAGTTCCACTGCCCGGCCGTTACCATTAACTGGCCAGTGCCAACTTCGTAAAGCAGTGCCTTCTGAAATCCTTAGCACAGGGTGTGGCCCTTCCCAAGGGGTGTGTGGGGGGGGGGGGAGGGGACTGAGCAGCTCAGGACTGGGGCAGCAGTGGGTGCACCTGGAGTGGGAGCTTCTGTTTGCTCTCCCAGAAGGATTCCCAGTACACCCTAAGTAGTTTTTCGCTTTTGTTTTTTCCTGAGAAGGGACTGGCAGGGCCAAACACATTTGGGGCATCTGTTTTAAAGCGCACCACAAATACAACAGCAGAAACTCTGTCACCTGTTTTTTCTGGCCACTTTGAAAGGGGCGAGCAACTTGGTCAGATCTGAGCAGGTCTTGGGAGGGGTACAGCTTCATCAGGATGGGAAGACCTTGATGCACAAAGGGACCCTCCTTCTGTGCAGGTGGGACCCCCAGTCAGGTCTCCCCAGGCCTCCTGATGTTTGCCTGAGCCTGAACATGCCCACAGAGCCTGGTCTGCTGTCACTGATTCACTCAGCATCTGCTTGGACAGATGCTACTAAACTTACTGAATTCTCCAAACACACAATTTATCACTGCCTCCCTGAAAACCTGTCTCCTCCAAATAATGAACAGAAAATGCCCCAGACTGTACCATGTAGCCTCACATCCCCAGGGAGAGAGAGATGCAGGGGGTCTGGCACACAGGGGTGGTGTTTCCATCCCTCCAGAACCCCCAAAGCCTTCCCATGTGGCCGCTGGGAATTCTGCCCTGACCATGGAGATGGAACTCTGAGCTCACCGCTCCGGGGCAGCAGCACCAATGCCACTCAATGCCCAGGAGAAGCACTTCCAGCCCTTCCCTGTCTGTCCTTTACAGTTCATGTTTGGGGAAGGTGGGCCGTGAGCCAGAGAGGTGCCCGAGGCCAAGTCTCCTCGCGTGCACCAACACCGACCTGAGCCAGCGGGTGCGAATGGTGGCAAAGCTGGAGCCAAAAGACTGCAGAAAGTGTCCTTGCAAAAGGGGGGGGGGGTGGTGGTGGCAGCAGGGCAGAGGCGGGCGCCTAAGTGACTGCAGTTAGTGACGCAGTCCTGTTTGCTTCTTCCCAAGGAAGGCCGAGGCCAATGAGGTGCAGGGGTGGGTGGGCCCGAGCTCAGTGGAAGCTGCTGCCCAGTTGGAGACGGGGAGCGGTTGGCAAGGTGGGGTGGTTGGTTCTCCCCCTGCCCCACCCAGTTTCTCTCTTCACTGCAATGCCTGGTCCGTGACTCTGATATCTGGAAGCATCGTTTTCCAGAGAGAAATAGTTCAGGAAGAGGCCACCAAACTTCCCTCAACTGGCTTGATTCTTGACCTTCAAAGAATGGATTGGTTTTATTGAGGAAAAAAAAAAAGATCCCCAAATCCCAGGTGTCTGTATATAGCCTCGAAAATGATCATCTACACCCTATGCTACATTCATAGCAGGCCTGTGTGTTTCTCTTCTCCCCAGTGCTCCGTGGGGTCTTTCTCTGTAGGGTCTCTATTAGAAATCCATGCTGAACTGCTGAGGTCTGGCTAGTGGAAACCCACTGTGGATGACAGAACAAATGCAATCACCACTGTCTGGTCAGCAGGCCTGCGGGCTACTCGTGTGAGGGGAGACCTTTGCGATTTGGGATTTGAAAAACCAGGGGCTGAGCTTCCAGCAGATCTTGCCTCCTGCTACTGCCATGGTCCTGCGTCCTGTCATTTGGATTCTGTTGGGGCACTTGCTTAAGTTTCTTTTTTGCTGCCTCAGGTAAAGCAATTTCAGTGTGATCACATTGCCAGTGGCACTGGCTGTTCAAGCTCAAAGAGAAAAGACCCACAGGAATGACAGGAGTGAATGGTTGAGGGTGGTGGGGGGCTCCTGGTAGGGCAACAGCAAACTGGAGTTCATAAAACAAGAACCACATGCCCCAGCTGGAGGACCGCGGGTGAAGCAAGCAAACAGGAGCTTCAAGCATATTAGGAAGCAGGGCGGACTCCCTGGATGGCACATCATGGGCAACTGTCCCGTGGAAAGGCGGCTCAAGCTCCACAGGAAAGTCCTGCAGAGACAGGTGGGCATGTGGCCATCAGGGCTGGCCAGCGGACAGGAGTAAGAGGGCCTGGAGGGTAAGCTGGCGCACCAGAAAACCAGACAGACCTGGAAACCCCACTCACAGAAGGTTTGCATGGGGGGGGGCGGGGGGGGACAGAGTTTTGCTACAGAAAAAATAAAGTTTTAGAATAAGGACAGTAAATATCCTCAGGAAGAGAAAAGAGGCTTAGGCACGAAACTGGCAGCCAGCACGTCAGCTGGACAGACGAGAATGGAGGCGCAGCTGCTCGAGGGGACGAAGAGCTCTGCAGAAGAGTGCACAGGCTCCTGAGCCAGGAGGGGGAGGGGGCTGCTCAGGATGAGGGGCAGGAGGGGCAGGGAGGGGTGCAGGGGTCAGAGAGGGACCTGCACTTGCTGGACCCCTGGCCCTAGGATGTGAAATGTGACACTAGGTTTTGAAACTTGATGAGGCAGAGGAGGAGCTGGAAGCAGCAGCCTGCAGCCAGTGACCACTTTGCTCTAGCGGGAGCATCAAAGCAATGTTCACCTCTCCGCACATGGTGATGCTCAGGGGTTACTCTGGGCTCTGTGTTCAGGAATCACTCCTGGTAATGCTGGCAGGGGGCTGGAAGGTGGTCACATAAGATGCCAGGGATTGAACAACTTGGTCAGCCGCAGGCAAGGCAAATGCCCTACCCACTGTACCATTGCTCTGGCCCTGGATTTCGCCTATTTAAATACTATATCTGGTTACTAGAGTGAAACTGAAGGTATACTTTCAGTGTGCCTTTGAGGTCCCTTTCTAGACCAGGAGGGGAAGGGAAGACTCTGGAGTAGGAAGCAACAGGAGGCAGAGCTGGGGGTGGCAGTGCCAACGTGTGGAGCCAGGTGGCCACAGGCCACGCAGAGACTCCCCCCCTCCCCCCCGTGTGCTCAAAACCCCTCAGCAGCAGAAACAAGGAGCAAGGAGGCGTCCAGAACCACCTGGGGCCTGGCTGGTCTTCCGAGCACTGCACATGGCCAGGCGGTCCCTGGGGGCCGGTGGGGGCACTCATACGGGCACTTACCTGCGGACAGCACCCGTGAGCTCGGCGGCCAGCTCACCGTCGCCGCATGTGGTCCGCAGCTCTGCCAGGGGCGGCGGGAGGGTGGCCACATCAGGACAGTCCTGGAATAGCAAACAGGCCTGTCAGCGCTGGGCTGGGCTGCAGTGAGGCAGGGGCGCTTGGCCCTCCTGCCGCCCCCAGGGCAGCCTGGCTGGAGGGCGCTCTGCTCTGCAGGGAGCAGAGGCTTGTTCCCACCACCACAGCTCTGTGGGGAAGAGGCTCTCGAGGGACAGAAGCAGAGCACCCGCCAGCTCGGAGCTGGACACCAGCTCACTAAGCTGCACCGCCAAACTCCTGACACTCAACCACATCAAGTCTCTGCACCAAGCAGTGGGGCTCTGGGGCAGGGCAACCAGGGTCTTCATGGGAAAACTGCCGGGGGGACTTTCTCCACCCCAGCACCTCCTGGCTGAGTGTGGCCCCAACCAGCCGTGGGGTTTGTGGCTGATTTGCTCAGCAGACAAACTGGGGGTGGTCACCCCTGGGACCCGAGAGGAGGAGAGGCCATGGGCAGTTGCAGAAAGCCCTACCTGCAGGGTGAGGAGCCCAGCGCTGGGTGCACAGTCCCTCAGTGCCCAGACAGAAACGTCACCCACTGTGGCAGCTCCTGCCCTCTGCCTGTCCTCACTTCTGCTCTGTGCATCAACCAGCCCCTGCTGCCAGGTCTCAGGAGAGCCAGCACCCCCTGCTGCCTCCCGGGTGACCTGCAGCCATAAGCACAGGGCCTGCTTTGCTCACATCTGCAAACATGTGTGGCATCAGTCATGAATCAATCGCTTGCAAGAACCTATCATAGCTGGAGAAAGATCTGGCACTCAGGCTGTTATCTGCAGGGAAGTGGTCTTTTTTGATGGGGGGGGGGGAGGGCTCCCCAGAGGCTCTGTCCTGCGCCTGAGGGCTGGTGCCCAGCACTGCAGAGGAGCATATGGTGGTGCTACAGGGCTCAGGGCCACACCCAGGCACCGGGACTGCCCCAGAACTCACCCAATGGCCATAGGAGGGTGGTCGAGGGGGCTGGCGAGCTAGAACAATGGGTGCTTCCCTGGCACCCCATATGGTCTGCCAAGCACCACCTGAAGTGAATCCTGACTGCAGAACCAGGGGTGACTCCTGAGCATTGCCAGTGTGACCCCAAACAAAGCAAATAGAGGATGTCTGGGTCCAAACCTTGGACCTCTTTCTACAGGATCCATAGGCTAAGCATTTTCTGTTTGAAAATCAAGAAACACATGGGAAGACTACACTGTATATTTTTACAAAGACTACATTGTATCCTCCGCCCCTCTCGGAGAGCGAGGCAAGCTACCGAGAGTATCTCGCCCCCGCACGGCAGAGCCTGGCAAGCTCCCCGTGAGGTGACGTATTCCATATGCCAAACACAGTAACAACAAAGTCTCCAATGGAGATGTTACTGGGCCCACTGGAGCAAATTGACGGGAGGGCCTTTACCTTTACCTTTACGTACATTGTATAATTTTGGAATTATACATTGGGATTTCCATAAGTAAAGTGTTACTAGAACATAGCCTCACTTGTTCCTGTCTCTGCTCTCTGTATTTGCACTAAGGCTCTCCACTGGCTAAGCCCACGGACCCCAAGGCCCTGGGATGCCCAATGTCCAGCCTGCACTGCTCTAAGACTGCGTGCCACCACTACCACCAAATACGGCCAATGAATGGCCAGGATGGAGATTCCACTGAAGCAGTAAATAGATCGACTCTTTGAAGACCAGATTCCACATGATCTGAACAACACAAGGCATGCTCATGTAACTTCTCACTCAAATGTAAACAAAATCCACCTGATCTCAGTGAAAACAAATGCTAGGTGTGCACAGTTCACTAACTGGCCTCACCACACCCCGAGGACCCCTGCAGCAAAGGAATTCTGTCCTCAAACAGTGCCCGAATGACGGCTAACACATGCCGAGGCACAGCAGAAATCTGGAGGTCGGGGAGGGAGGCAGGACGCCCCACCTCCCTGAGCCAGGTGCCCGATTTGGCCACACTGTCCCATCCTGGAGGTGCTGGGGTCCCAGAGCTGGCACATGTCCCTGCCCCGTGGCCAGCCCGCCTCTGCAGGCCCCATGTCCATCCCTCGTACCTCCTTTGTCCCCTGCTCGGGTGCCTGCTGCTCTCCTTCCTCACACTCTGCCCTGGCTCTCTGCACTAGGTTCGCTCTCACTCCTACAAAGCTGTACAAACCTCCACATTTGCATTCTGGTGCCATGAGGTTTGGGACTCAGGAAAGTTGCTGCAGGGAATTTTCTAAGTGACACAGACAGACACTGACCCTGGAGAGCAAGAGTAGATGTCCTAGAGCTGACCTTGGGCCTTGCAGCTAGCTCAGAACAGACCAAACTGACCTGAAGCAACACTCAGAACACTGCCAGGACCATGTAGCGTGCTCATGTCTCCCACTACTGTCCCTCGGGCTGCCCGCTGCACCCCCCGGACCCTCGAAATGAACCACAGCAAGGGCCCAGCTGGGCAGCACGGTCCTGCTCACTCCTCAGCAGGCGCAGGTGCCGCGCTGTGCTGCCGGGGCCCTAGAGGTGTGGGAGTCAGTTTCGGCCATGGCACAGCAAGTTCTCCCTGCCTTGGCTGAGAGCCAGAATCCACCTCGCACACAGCATGCATGCTTAGAGTGGTCAGGCATGGCCCAAGGGAGAGGCCATGTGGACACCAGGTGTGGGTCTTGGCCTGGGCAAGGGGTGCTTGCTGGCCTGGGGCCTGCTCCCCCCAACACTTTAATTCCCGGTGGGCTGATATGCTGTCCCAAGGACAATGCCTCCGTGGGCTCAGGATGCTGAGACCTGTGGACACAGAAGTGCACCACGGAGGACACCCGCTCAGAGTGGCAGCTGCCATGTGACACCTGGAGTCACAGTTCAGACGAGGATGTGACCTGCTTCCACCACAGTCCTGTGTGGCAGCCCTGAGGGAGCAGCAGGGACAGGCCATGGACCATCATCCAGAGGCTCTCTAGAGTGACCGTGGCCTGGTGGCGCATGAGGGCGGGCAGGAGCCCCCTGACCCACCTGGCCGGGTTGATCTCTGCTGCTGCTGTGTGCATGCTGTTCCTTCTGCTCCTCCACCTCTGCCTTCAGGTGCTCGATGTGTGCCAGGTAGGCCTGCTCCTGCGCCTCCCGTGTGCTCAGCCGCAGCTCCAGGGCCTTCTTCTCCTTCTCCAGCAGGTATAGCTGGGCCTTCAGCTCGGCCATCTCCTCCTGCAGGCAGGGTGTGTCTCAGACCCCCGCACTGAAACAGCAGGCAGGCTCCCGGAGTTTCTACTCTTTCACACCACTTCTGGGGTCCAGAGGTGCCTCCAGGGCCCTGGCATTGCTTGGGCGACCGCAAACCAAAGGTACAACAGATTCCTCTGACCTTACTTTTCCTAGCAAAAGGAACTTTTGTTTCGCCAAAAAAATCTTTCCAGGCCAAGATAACACTGACTCCATCATACAATATTTGGCCTGGCCAGAATCAGGGGGTCCTGCAGCAGTGAGAAGGGGAACAGGTGTCTGGAACAAATCCTGACGACCAGTCTTGCTGCAGTGCCGCAGGGACCCAGATGGGAGAGATGACCACTCAAGAAGCCACTGCCAGGACCCAGCTGCTGCTGCCCCACGTTTCCCCAGAAAGAGGAGAGGCAGGGCAGAGGTGAGATGAGGCAGGTGACTCCTGGAGCAGTCATACAGCTGGAAGGTGCACGCGGCTGGCCCAGGTTTGATCCCCATATGTTCCCCTGAGTACCACCAGGAGTAATCCCTGAACAGAGCCAGAAGTAATTCCTGAGCACCACAGGGTGTGGCCCGAAGGAAGGAAGGAAGGAAGGAAGGAAGGAAGGAAGGAAGGAAGGAAAGAAGGAAGGAAGAGGGAGGAAGGCAGAGAATGAAGAAGCAGGGTGATTCTGAGTCACTGCTCCCAAGCCATAGGGCGGGAGTCAGGAGCGAGTGGGGACCTTTGCGTGTGGCAGGGCTTAGCTGAGCACTGTGGCCACTCCAACCAGCAGGGTCCCCATGGGCTCTTCGGGCATGTTACTGTGGCAGCTTGCAAGTGAGCATGGAAGGAACACAGAACAAGCCTGCAGGGAACTCAGCTGCCCTCGGGGACCTGACTCCCTGTCCGGCTCAGCCCCGTGCATCACCCCAGTGGAGATCTCTGTGGAGACTCACTCCAGACACCAGCCCCAAGTCCCCCTGGTGTCCCCGAGGGTCTGGCCGTGTGCTCAGGAGGCCCACCCACAGCCCTGTGCAGCTTCTCCTCCCATGACAGTGATGACCCTGGAGAGCTAAGTCCAGCTGGAGTTGATGCTCATCTCTGCCCTGACCACTCAGTCCAGGTGCCATGCAGGAAGCTCCTCTGGGCTTCGCTGGCCAGGCTCCCCAAGCGCGTCAGGTCAGTGTGAGGGGCACTGAGAGTGTCCGAGGTCAAGGCCTTGCTCTCTACGTCTCTGTTAGTCTAGGGGCCAACCCCCACCTCCAGCTGTTCAGAAGTCACTCATTTGCATAACAAGGAATGTCCAACCAGGAAATTCCAAAGGGTTTGCAGCTCGGTCCAGGAACTGGAAACACACACCAGCTTGGGAAGAGGGCAGTGTGGGACCCAGCCAGACAGCGCAGAGCCTCCAGCAGAAGCAAGGGTGGGTCGGACTCTTCCCCTCGAGAGAAAGCCCCTCTGAAAATGCTGGGGGTGGGCCAGGGTCAGCTCGGAGCAGCTCCTAGGAAGCATCCCAGGGCAGCGCTGCAAACGGCAGGCCGTGGGAAACTGGGCCACCTGCACCTGCTTGACCTGGCAGGGCTTTCCCATGGCCTTGCTATGGGAATCTGCTCTCCCACAGGTGCCTTCCGTGGTGGAAGAGAAGAAGGAGCCACAGAGACAGGCACCAGGCATGTGTGCATGCATGCATGCAATTTCTGTATATGTGCCAGTACATGTGTGTGCGCGCATGTGTACACACAGCAGAGACTTATCACCCACCCACTGGCTCCCAGAGGCTTTTCCTATTCATCCAGGCAGTGCTGAGCTAGTGTGGGCAGGGTCAGCTCCTGCGTGAGCCTGGCCCCTACCTTCATGGCCATCAGCTCCTTGGTAAGCCCAGCCCCTACCTTCATGGCCATCAACTCTTGCATGAGCCCGGCCCCTCCCTTCATGGCCATCAGCTCCTGCGAGAGCCCGGTCCCCTACCTTCATGGCCATCAGCTCCTGCATGAGCACAGCGTTCTCCAGGTCCAGGCGCTGGTTGTCACCCCGGGGCCTGATGTCGTAGCTGAGCGGGTCGATGTGGACACTCTCCAGGTCCAGCATGGTCAGCTTCACTGCTGCACGGTCATTTTTCAATTGCTGGATATAATCCTTCAGCCTCTGCTCGTCCTCTTTGGTGAACTCCATGTCACAGCTGCTGGCTGTGGAGCTGGTGGTGCTGAGGGGAAAGCAACTGTGAGGCCGCCACATGGCGCTCGCTGGCTGTCCTGGCAGTTGCCCTGCAAAGCTGCTTCAGTGCCAAGAGCGAGGTACGAACACTGCCTTCCGGAAAGGGAAGGAGGGAGAATAACAGAAACGTCCACATCCTATCACACACATGTGGACTCCAAGGAAAACAATTCCACAGAGGCAACAAGATAGAGAGGCTGTTTCTCGGGACAGTGGGTTTGATGAGTTATATCAAAAGGAAGAAACAGTGGATATTATAGCATGATAACAATTGTGGAGCTATTGTTTACTTTTTTGTATCCAAAGGAAAGTTTAGTGACAATCGAAACTGTATGTGCATAGCTTTTCTTTTGCAAAGTAATTTAAGTTTTTAAAGATTCACAAAGTTACTCATGGTTGAGTTTGAGGTGTAATGTGTTTATGCACTGTTTCTGCCACCAGAGTCGACCTCCTTCGGTGGAGCTATTTTAAGTGAGGAAATGGGATAAACAATAGTATGAAATCAAAATAGGCATGGATGTGGGCAGGGCTTTGTAAAAGGATGAAGCTGGAGGAAAAAGCCAGTTAGAGAAGAAAACCATGAAGGAATAATCTAGAAGAGGAGGGCCAGACCCTGCAGACCCTGGGCATGGAGGGCGTGGAACTTCGGAACCCTCTCAGGAAGCAGGTTCCTTTGCGCCCAGTCAGTCTGGCATCACGGCTAAGGGCAAGGCCTCTGGCTGTCAGTCAATGCAGCACGGGAATGGGGCTGACTACCGCCCAAGGCTTCTGTGTAGCCCCAGAAGTGAGTGGAGGAGGGAGTCCCCTCAGACTAAAGACCCTCCTTGGAAGAACCAAAGAAGTCAGTGTTTGAATGGACTAGGACACCATTTAGAACAGAGATTCTTAAATACATTTGGCTTAATGCCACCTTTTCAGGAAAAAAAAATCACACAATGTGCCCCTGGAAACATTTTAAATGCGAACTTAAAGGGTTGCCAATTTCACCCACAGCTACTAGTGTACCTCTCCCCTCTCACCCTACCCCCCCCCCCCCACCCGCCCCTGTGAAACATGTCCTAAGAACCGTATGAGAGATCAGGAATCAGGCGGGCTGGCGACTGGGGTGCTTTGCAGCAATGAGGGCCTGGCATGGCTCCGTCAGGAGAAGCCCTTGGTTTCACTGTCTCAGCTATGAGGAGCGTGTTCAGGGAGGAAGAACAGACCAAAGAATCCCAGGCCACAGACACTCAGAACTTTCAAACACTTCCACCCAGGGGCAAGTGTGATGGCAAGACAAGTGCCATCCTGTGCAGTCCCTCGCTTCTCTTTCTCCCTTCCCAGACACAGCAGGGTCCAGATGCAGTTAAAGCAGCCCTGGTCCTGCTGCAGATTAGGAAGATGGTGAGGGAGGGGTGGGCTCCTAAAGGTGCAGTGCCGTGGCTGGGGTGTGTTGGGTGAGGGTGAACCCACAAACCCTCTGGCTGGGAAGCAGACGCTCGTCGGGGTGGGGGGGGAAGGGGGATGGGGACTGCAGAGGAAGCCCAGAGCAGCATGGCTCATGGCCTTGCATTCTGCTCGAGTTTTAAATAAAGAGCTTGGCCAGACTGGATGCTGTTTCTTCTTCCGTAGGCTCTGCTTGGAATCCCTTCACGCTGGCTTACTCTCTGCATAGCTTCCAGTGGGCCTGGGCAAAGAGTACCAGGACAGGCTTTGGGAGGATGTGTCCATGTTGACGTGTATGTGCGTGTGTGTGCACCCCTGGCTGGGTCTGCCTGCTAGATGCAGGTTTATTCAAATAACCCCTTTTTCAACATCCCCTGTTCTCCATGGGATTCCAACCTGACCTCCAATCAATTCCCCATCTGGCACTATAGAAGGAACATCCAGTCCTGGGGATGCCTGTCACAGTGTGATGTCACCAATCCGACCCCAGTACAGGCCCATGTGTGCCAAGCACCATCTAGTCATCCTAGGATCCCTGGCACCAAAACAAAAAATGCATGTGATCGTTAGAGTACCACAACTTGGTGTGCATGAGCACCACAATGTGTGAGCCTGACTTTTGGTGAGCTCATGCATGTACCACAGTCAGTGCTGAGTATTAGCTAGTTGAGAGTACCACAGTCAGTGTGAGAGCATTAGTGAGTGTGAAAGTACCATAGCCAGTGTGAGATCATCAGCCAGTGTGAGAGTACCACAGCCAGTGTGAGAGTGCCACAGGCAGTGTAAGAGCATCAGTTAGTGTGTGAGTATCAGTGAGTGTGAGAAGTATCACAGCTAGTGTGGGAGTATCAGGTAGTGTGGGAGTATCACAGGCAGTGTGAAAGTACCACAGCCAGTGTGAGAGTATCAGTGAGTATGAGAGTATCACAGCCAGTGTGAGAGTATCAGGTAGTGTGAGAGTATCATAGGCAGTGTGAAAGTACCATAGCCAGTGTGAGAGTAACAGTCAATGTGAGAATACCAGGCACTGTGAGATTATCATAGGCAGTGTGAAAGTACCACAGCCAGTGTGAGAGTGTCAGTAAGAATATTATAGCCAGTGTGAGATTATCACAGCCAGTGTGAGAGTATCAGCCAGTGTAAGAAAATTACAGCCAGTGTGAAAGTATCATAGCATCGGCCAGTGAGAGAGTATCACAGCCAATATGAGAGTATCAGTCAGTGTGAAAGTACCATAATCTGTGTGAGAGTATCAACCAGTGTGAGAGTATCACAGCTAGTGTGAGAGCATAATAGCCAGTGTGAGAGTATCACAGTCAGTGTCAGAATATCACAGTCAGTGTTGGAGTGTCATGACCAGTAAGAGTATCAGAGCTGGTATGAGAATATCAAAGCCAGTGAGCGTTTCACAGCTGGTGTGAGAATTCAGCCAGTGTGAGAGTATGAAGGCCAGTTCAGTGCAAACTAGTCATTGCAACAATGACAATGGCAAGGGATTGGAGGAAATAGATGTTAAAATAGGATGGAGAAGGAGAAAACTTCACCTTCTTTAGCATGCCTTGGCAGAAAGTTCAAAGATGGAACATTTCACTTGAGAACCAGAGATGATTTCTCAGGGTTTGCCACACTTCCCCAGGAGCACAGGCTGCCATCTGCACCCGGGAACAGCCTCTCAGGGACAGATGGCCTGCTTGGCTGAGACCTGAAGGATGATTGGAGGAAGTGGTCACACAGTGACCCCTACAGACCATCCATGAGTGACCTCTCTGCCAAGCAGTACGTTGGGCACGTCAACTGCCCAACCCCAGTGATGCTCAGGAGCTACTCCTGGCTCTGCACTCGGGGATCAGTCCTGACCCTTAGGGTGTCACATAGGAAGCTGGGGATTGAACCTGGGTCAGCTGCATGCCAGGCAAGTGCTTTACCTGCTATCGCTGCAAACTCCCTCCAAACGTCCACCCAGGTCTTACTGCTGGGCTAGGGAGTCCTCATTCCTCCACTCAGGACAATTCCTTAACTCCAAGAACTGAAAACACTCAATACAGTCGAAATCCCCTCGCTTTGTACACACTTAAAGGTTCTCTAGGGGTGGAGGTTAAATGAGGGGGAAATGTAACAAATATGAGAAATCTGCTGTCAGACACTAAAGTTGTTAAAAACCCTCTCGCTTTATGTTCCCAGAGTTTAGAAGACAGTGAAAGACAAAAATAAGAAGCATTTGGGGGGACAGTTCAAATGACTGGGGGGCAACCTTTGTACACAAGGTCCTCATCTGGTTCCCTCGTCATGGCCCCTGAGTACTGCCGTCTGTGCCCCACCCACTGCAAGCCCCTGCCCCCCATCCAAATGAGAAACAGATGTCTAGGAGACAGGTTTCATGTATGTGGCTCTCTTTTTTAAGGTGATGCTGTAATGGTGTTGGAAACCACGTATTTAAAATCAAATATTAACTTATTCCAGATTCAGTTGCTAGAGTCACACATCAGTCAGGAGACCTAAAAATTCTATTGTTAACTCCTTTGGCCTGAGGGACAATTTTTAATATCTGTAACAATTAATTGGAACACATTCATATATTTTTGCTGAAAGGCTGATCCAACTGAAAAAGTATACACTTCCCACATGCAGTGAGGGGAAGAGGGGAGGAGGCCCTGTCTGTGCAGCTGCCAGGTAATGGAATCGTGAACACTTAATACTTAAAGTATTAGTCATTCATAAGGCAAAAAATTCTACTTCTCAAAATCACTTCAATGAAAATTGCGCGAGAATGACACAAATAAGGACAAGGAGCTCTGGCAATTTTTTCACAATGAAATAGTCACATTCAGAAAGAGCAAACGAATGTGAGTAGCCTGCCACTGCCGGGAGAACAGAGCAGCCACAGGCAGGAGAGATGGAGTGCATCTAGGAGGAAATGTGGGGCCGCCTTGCAGGCCTGTCTCGAAGCGACAACCCCCCCTCCCAACCCCTCCCCACCGCCGGGTCTCACAACAGTTGTCTGTCTCTCTTGTCTGGCTTCACTGGCAGCGCTGCTCAGCAGGAGTAGAGCCAACAGACCATTCCTCCTGTCATGGCCACAGAGAGATTTCCCCACGTCACTTAGAGAGGGCAGGTGCTGCCCACCCGGGCTGTGCTGGAAACCAGGTGTTTCTGGTGGCCTGCTGTGCCCATCCAGGCACACTGCTCCCTGGGCTTCTGCGCTTCCTGACCCCCGTTCCACGCTTCCTTTTCTCCACACACACAGGGGCCATATGGGATCCACAAAGGCCGCAGCCCCCTGGGACCGCCTGGCCAAACCCACGGTGGGTTTCCCTCTAGTGCTAGCTCATCTGGCCAAGCTCCTGTGGGCATGTGGGAGGCTGTGGGCCTTCTGTCCTCAATAAGCAGCACGAGGGACGGGAGAGCAGCATGGACTTGGGAACTCGGGGATCTACAGTACTGCCGTGAGCACCAGCCCAGGACCTCCACCCCCTACCCCAGAATTATAGCCTCGCAGCTACACTTCTGATTGGTTGAGCCACTTTTCCTGCCATGTGCAACCAAAGGTCTTTTGCTTGTGTCTTTGTTTTGTTTCACTTCTGGGCCACACCTGGCTGCACTCAGGGATCACTCCTGGCAGGGGCTGGGGAACCATATGTGGTGCTGGGGCTCGAACCCAGGTCATCCCTGTGCAAGGCAACTGCTGTGCAATCTCTATGATACCTGTGACCAAGGGTCTTAACAGCTAAATCTGTGGTAATATATAATATATCCCAAATTATTTTCCTTGCCTTTCCCTTTCTAGTGTGGATAAAACTGGCATGATTTTACACACACACACACACACACACACACACACACACACACACACACACACACACACACACCACACACACACACAAGATCCTAGCGAAGAAAGGTAAAACAATGCACATTTTCTGGCCTCTACCCATTCTCATAGAACTGAAAAAATTGGTAAAAGAACATGTGAGCGAAAGCTGACTGTCAGGAATGTGACTAGGCCCAGACAACAGAATTCAGTTTTCCAAGTGTGAGTTCCAAGGAGTTTTGACGCTTTGAGTTCCAAGCGTTTCTCTTTCTTTGATTACAAAGACATCCAGATTGGGCCCAACTATGTTCCCTGAAGCAGGTTGCTGGTCCGCGCTGATGGCTGCACGGCCCCATTCTCCCTTTCAGCTGGCGGATCTGACCTCAGTCAAGGCAGAGGAACTACCTATATTGGGACCACCTGAGAGAGTGACGGCTGGGCTCTCCTTTCACTGCACATGGAAGTGACACACACCACGAGTGGCCATCCAGGGGCTGACCTGCTCCCTGGAGGCACTCAGGGCTCAATGTGACCTCACGGCTGGGGCAGTCCGTTGTGGCTCCAGCCCTCTTGGCCACGTACCTTCTGTAGACACAGACTGATGACTTGGTCTTCGATCAAAGGAACTGAAACTGATAGTTGACACAAGAGTGCACTGATGAAGCGTTCCCAGTCCTGCTTCTCTTGTGATGGGCATCAACGCATGCATCCCGGCAGTCTGCATGACGGAGTTACTCTGTCTGTTAAGATGATGATGCCTTCTGAGGAGGCCCTGGCAGCCTTCATCAATGAGGGCAAAAAAGCAGCTTCCTGGGAGCCTGACCACAGAGTCTCGCTCCCTTTTCTATTCTCCTTGTTGCTCCTTCTGAACCCATGACTCCCTCCTGCCATCAGGATGGCCTGTGTGCGGGGGAGGCCAGACTGTGTCCTTTGAGCACTCAGGGTCAGACACTGACTTTCTCATTAGCATTCTGTGTCAGCCGGTTACTGAGAGGAAAGGAACGTTTAGGTCACAAAAGCTCACTCAGAACATTCCTTTGCTTTCCACTATGAAGTTGACACTTGCAGCATTCGTCTGAGTAGGAATGGTAGGATTTACAAACATACTGCTATAATTATGAAAGGGTCTGGTGGCCTGAGACTTTTTTGAGTCCACAGTTAATGCCAGCTGCATTTATGTGGCTGCTACGTAATGCCTGTGTGTGGTTTTTCTATTCCTTTTCGGAGTTGCTCTGACTTGGGGCAGAGGGTAAAGATGAACTGTAAAGGAGAATTGGATGAAATAATAGCTAAAGTCCCTCTATACTTCAATCAGAACATCCATTTGAGACTGCTTTAGTTCAAAGGCCATTCTTCAAAGAAGTTACTCATTTTGAAAATGGAGATTATGTGTGGAATTTACCTCAACCAGCAGAATTGCTGCCAAAATTAAATTTCTCTAAGAAAACTCTGCAACTAAAGGTCCATCTATATGTTAAAATATTCCTTAAAAATATTCGAAATTATCGTCTCCACTTTTATAGACAGGAAGGACATTTTTCCACTTCTGATTCCAAATTTGCCTCTGACTTAGATTAATATAACAAAATTACTTCTGGGAAGGGATGTGTGAGCACAACATATGTGATATAAATCTCTTGCACTACCGGAATTGCACACATTCACTGTGCCTGTGTTCAACAGGACAGTGTCACTGACAACAGAAGAGCTCCTTATTCTAAAGCAACAGGGAAATCGCAGGTTACATATTTCTGGAAAAGCCATTAAGAAGAGAATATGGCTTTCCAGGAAAAAATGATAGACTGTGCCCTCTGAATGAGGCATTTGTTGCAGGAGTCAGGAGGAGAGAAGTCCTCTGTGGATCTCTGACCAAGTCCATTAGTGGGAAAGATCCTCCCTGGGGACAGCAGGACAGGCAAATGGATGGACTTAGCAGAGGGGCCTGCCATGGGGAGATGGATATGTACATTCAAATATCACACACCAAGAAAACTTCAGTATTTTTTCTTTGGTTCAAACTCCCTTTGATGATTTTCAGTGCTAAGGACTAATCCTAGGAAGTCACTGGCAAGGCTGACACAGGGTTCAAAGTCACACCATCCAGAGTGGAAGGAACAAAACTGTTCACGCCAATATCCTAGCTAAAGAGTCCTGATTCCCACAGATGTGACAGAGACGAGTCATTCACAGACATGTGAGCCAAAGTTTTATTACCTGTTAAAATGGGGTGAGTCTTGTTGGCCGAGAACCTTTTAAGAAAGTACTTTCTACACACAAAACTGGGTGTTAAGGGCTTCACAGTTAAGAAGACCGTTGGAAAGGCTTCTTTCTCATCTACCCTACCCCAAAGAAGTCAATCACTGAGCAAATATTGCTCAGCAAGGTCGTCAGTTTCCTTTCCACCTCTGTCATGAACAGTAGGTCCCTTGAATAGTTAGCTTTGTTCTATGTTGTTTCACAGAACACTGTTGAGGAGAAATGAATCCCAGCTGATGTTGACAGAAGCCAGTTCTGTGAGGATCTGGCTCATGACAGGACATTTGATGGATGCATCCCAAATCCCAAGCACCTACCAATGGTATGGATGAAGACTTACAGAGGCCAGATTTCTAGATTCATAAATTCTGAACTTGATCATACAAGATTATTTGCTAAGTTCATGATACCATTTTGTAAGTTCATACTACTAATGCGGGGTCATAAGAGATCTGTGGCAAAAAAGACAGACAACGTTACTGCCTGAGAAGTGCCTATAAAGGACAGAGCCCTGAGGGAGGGAGAGACCATAGCCTGGAGCCAGGATGCAAGCAGTCTGTGTCCTGGGTGTTGAATGACTCTTCCGAGTAAATGGGTACTGGTTATCCCAAGTGCTCAGTGTGAGGCCCACTCCCCTCCTACAACACTTAGCCCCGCTTCCCTTGCTTAGCATAAGCACAGCCATTTTGGAAAAGCACAGCTTTTGCCAATGACCGTCAGGTCAACCAGAGAACACCCATTTAAGGGAATCAGCCAAAAAGGCAGAACTAATCCCACCCATTTCTGGGGTCAGCTGAAAAAGCAGAAATTACCCCTGCATGAAGTTAGTGAAGATAACCACTGAACCAATCAAGAGAAAGGTCACCAGGGAGTGGCACAAGATGGTCAGGAAAGCCCTTTGTATTTTTAGAGTGTAAGAAAAGGACCCTGGAAACAAGAGAGGGGTCACTCTCCTAATAAAAGGCCCAACTCTGACTTTCTGGCTTTCTAACCCCATGCTTGTTTGACCTGTGCCAAATAAAATTATATATTGCAGAGCTTACCGCTTTGTGTGATCTTTTCAGACATGGACCTAATACGCAGAATTCAGAAACGGTAACAAGCAGAGCCATGAATAAAGGGAAGGCAGCACAGCATACAGGAGTATGCACAGCACATACACAGCACAGCATACAGTATGCGCCCACTCCTTCCACACTCTTGGCAAATCACCCCTTCCTGGGCTTCACATTGGCAAAACAAAGAGGTTCTTTCTTGCTCCCTGAGATCAATTCTAACTCCCTGGGTGTTAGGCTGTGAACTGGGGGTGCAGGCGCACCCGCCCTTCCCGAGCCCCTGGTACCTGGTGTGGCTGGTGGAGGACAAGCTCTCCCAGGGCTGTGTGCTGCAGCCGGCCGCTGCCAAGGCGCCCCCGCAGCTGCCATCCAGTTTCAGGAGCAAGGCTCTGGCCGCGTTCTCCGCTGTCTTCCGGCAGTCGTGGGCTCGCTTGAGCATTTGAGTGATGTTTTCGCCCCCGGATGGGTCTCCTACATGGAAGAGAAGTCAATGAATCAACCAGGGCAGAGCCGGGAGGTACAGCTGGAAGTCCGTGTGGATAGTCGGTGGGAGAGCAAAGTGGGAGGGGGCCAGCAGGGGCCAGCAGCATGGAGACTGCACTCTAGGGAAGCCTCTGCCCCTCAGAAGCTGGACCTCACAGGCATCCTCTTCCTAACCTCAGTCTCCTCATGGGCAAGTAAAGACTGGCCTACATGCTCTCACTTGAGTGGGCTTTGGGTTTTCCTAGTTATCCAGGCTTGTACCTTGTCCCATTAAAGTGTACTTTGTGAGTGAGGGCAGGGAGAAACTGAGGTAAAAGGACCACAGTTTCACATGTTCACAGAGCTTCACGATCAGGAGACAAAACCCATGAGGAAACATATCACTTCAGCACGGCACTGTTTTCTTTGTACGGCGCCTGCCCTGGCCTCTTCTCTCAGATCAGTCCCTGGAGAGGTGGGGAGAAACCTCGGTGCCCGGGTCCTGCAGGTGCAGGGTCCCTGGACACAGCCATTTCTCTGACATCCTTCCATTAAGAAGACACTCCACATCCTTCAAACCCACTGGTCGCTCTATGAATCATGTTTGGAAGAAGGCATGATATAGTAAAGGGCTCATTTTTAAAATTTAATTTTTTGAACATTTAACTCTGTGACTTAGAATTCTTTGAATGTTTCATGCAGGGAGCCACTATTCCAACACTACACCCTCCTCCAGAGAGCCCCAGCCCACTCACTTCTCAGCACTAGTTCTCCTGACCTGTTGCCTTCACTCTTTTATGATGTTTCTTTATATCCCTGAGATGAGAAAGCTCATTTTTCTCTCTCCTGATCACTTCACAGAGCAGGATATTATCCAGACCCATATGTATAGTAAAAACTTGCATGATTTAACCTTTTATTATAGACAAGTAGTATTTTATTAAAAATAATTATTGTAGTTTAAGTAACATGTTTTGATACTGTGGGCACTTAGGGCTCTGATGGATGGGTGCCACAGTCGTCATCGTTCCCACCCCCTTCCCCCCCCCCCCCCCACACACCCCCAGCAGGCTCATTACCCTACACCAACGCTCTTACTGCTAATTCTCGGCGACTTTCCATTCTCAACTCAACCCTGCTTGATTTTGTGATCCGAGGAATAGGGTTGATCATCATTCAAGAATATTTACTCCTTTGCTTTATTTTTCTTTGTAGCACAGATAACTGAGAACATCTTCTTATTTTCTCTCCTTTCTTTGGTCAAGTTTCATTTGACATGATACTCTAGTTCCAAGTTGCAGCAAACTAAAAGATTTTATTGATTCTGGTTGCCGCATAGTATTCCATTATGTGTGTGTATGTGTGTGTGCACAACAATTTATTCTTTATTCATCTGTAGTTGGACATTTGGATTATTTCCACATCCTGGATATTGTACTGAGCATCACAATGAACAAAGGTGTGCCTATATCTTCTCAAATTAATGTTTTCGAGTTTGGGGGATAGATGCCAAGAAATGGAACTGCTGGGTCATATTCTTATGTTCTTGAGAAACCAACATACTGTTTCCTATAGGAGCTAAACCAGATGAGATTCCCACCAATCAGAAAATATGGTTTTTCTCCCCATTCCTTGATAACACTGGTTATTTTCAGCTTTATCGACATGTGCTATTCTTCCTGGTTTGAGAGTATATCCCATCGTCATGTTGAAGGGCTTGTTTCATACATGGCGAAGGTAAAGCATTTTATTATTCAACTGAAATATTCTAAATTCAGATTTTTCTAGTTTTTCCAGCTCTCAAATAGCTGTGCTGAGTAGCTATCAGTCTACTAAGAGGTTCTGAGGGCAGGGGAAGGGCCCAAGGGCAGAGATACTGGCTCTGCCTCTGGGTAGCTCTGATTTTGATCCCCAGCACTTCTTAATCTCTTGAGAATCACAAAGAGTGACCTTTAAGCACACCCTGAATGTAGCCCCTGATGATTATGGGATGTGGCACTCCTTCACAAAGTGAAAAAATATAACTGAAACCAACTAGAAGTGCCTTTTGGGGTTGGAGTGATAGTGCAGCGGGTAGGGCATTTGCCTTGCTGACCCGGGTTTAATTTCCAGCATTCCATATGGTTCCCTGAGCTCACCAGGAGTAACTCCTGAGTGCAGAGACAGGAGTAAACTCTGAGCATGCCAGATGTGGTTCCTAAGGCACCCACCAATCAAAAAACAGTGCCTTTCAAGGACAAAACAATTTAGGACGTTTTTCTGATACAAACTGGAAGTAATATCATTGATCTTTCCCTTTAAATCATCACTTCTTTTTTTTTTTTTTAGTAAACACACACACACACACACACACACACACACACACACACACACCCCTCTTGGTAGTGGACCAACATCATTTTTGGATCTATTTAAGTTTGAGAAATAGAGTCTTATGATTCAGTTAAACGATCCTGATAAAATGAAGTTTCTAATGGAAATGCTGGCAGTGTGTCCTGGCTGGGATGGTCATGCTTTTATAAGAGCTGTGAAGGGCTGTCACTGGTAGGCCTGCTGCCTGGCTAGGGAACTTGGACAGGAAGCAGGAAAGGAACCCCCAGACCAGCCTCTCTCAGACTGGCTTCAGATTCCTGCAGATGTCAAAGCTGAAGGAGCTGGCTGGAAGCCTGGGGGCTGTGGTGGGAGGCAGAGGTCGTGAGGGCGTGTCCCGATGGCAGCCTTCTTTGCACAGGACCTGGGAACATTAGCCTTGGGGAGTTTCCAAGCCATAGAGGAAAAAAGTTCATCAACATAAACAATCAACTCAGTCATGAGGAAAACATCCTTAACAAGTTGGTTAAGTGGGTTTTATGTGCCCGCAGCCAGGAGGGCAGGAGAAGCAGGGGACAGAGGAAGGGGACCGAGGCGTAACACTCACCAGGAGAGGAGCCGGCTCCAGATGCCCGGAACTGTCCCACAATGAGGCTCTGCTCACTGTCGGTCAGGGCCAGCAGGAGCTCGTAGGCCTCTATGCACTGTTCACTGAAATAGAAGCACAGGGCTCAGGACCGCGGGGAAGGCAAACCCCAGCACCCCCAAACACTCCCTGTGCAGTCAGGCCAGCTCACTGCATCTTTCTCACTTCCCCTTCACTTCCTCCTGCCTCCCTTTCCCCTTACTACCTTCCCTTTCTTCCTCTTTTCTTCCTTTCCTTCCCTCCTGATAGGATGTAATTCAAGGAGAGGATGGAAAGATTCTTGTCTACAACATTACAGTTACTGCTTTAGAATAAAGATATCCATAAAACAAACCTGTACCACATGCTCAGGGCTTACTCCCGGCTCTGTGCTGAGGGGTCATGGCTCAAGGTACTTGGGGTCCACTTATGGACACAGGGTAAAATGAAGGGACACAGGGCAAACTGTGTACAAGGCAAGCAACTTGACCCCTGCAACTATTTCTCTGGCTCATTTTTCCTTTTATTATTTTTTTCCATCAGTTTCCAACATTGAATGATGTCAAGGATATTGCTTCAACATTATATATGTGTGGGTGCCCTGTCCCCAGAACTAAAGTCTAGTGCCATTCAATCACCAAGTTCAGTCTTCTTTTGCAGGGGCTCTCAAGCAGTACTTACAGGGCCTGGGATGCCTGAGGAATCAGGCTCAGTGCTAGGTTGGGCAATACAGCAATGCCGAGGGCCAGCATGCACATGGGGGCAGTGCTCGGGCATGCAGGCTCAGTGCTTCGCCATGAGCCCTGGCCAGCCCACTTGCTCTAGCTGTCCATATACCATACGAGGAGACACTGCAACCTCTCACTTCCTGACTTATCTCATTCAGCTCCACTCAGGCTGCAGGTGCCTGCCCCTAAAAGAACTCAACTAGAGCCTAGAGAACTGCCCAGGAGACACTAGCAGGGAGGCTGGTTGCTGCCCCTCTGTCGATCATGGTGGCGAGTTCGAGACTCCCCTGCCCAGGCCGACCTGCTGGTGCCCACACACTGCTGCCCCTTTCACAACAGCACAGGCTGGTCTGTAAGCCTGAGGGTATCGCTGGAAGAAGGGGGTGTCACTTCTGGGATCAGGCTACAAGACGACCAGGAAAGCATCTGCCTACGCATGAGGCTGACAGCTCTATCCTGGCACCACAACTGCATGCCCCCATGCCAGCATGCAGCCCTGCTGACCGGGATCCTGGTACCTGCACAGCCTGGAGTGTGAACACAACATAGCCAGGTGTGTGCAACCCCAGCATACAGCAATGACAGAAGCCAAAAGGCAAGGTGTGAGGGCACAAAGTCCGGCATGGCAGCTCTTCCTTGGCCTCTCTGCACTGGTGGAGGCTGGCAGCTGGGTTCTGCTGGACACAGCCAGTGAGGGACGTGATCTCTTGATGAACACCTGCCAGCCCAGTGTGAGGGCTCGGTTGTCACAGCCCTGGGTGGCAGCTCAGCCAGAATCTCTTTAGAGGTGCTGAGCACAGCTCCCTCCTTAGTCAGTCTCAGATTCCTGAGCACTGAACCCAGAGAAATAGGCATGTCATAACTAGTGCACAGCAATAGTAACTGATATGTCCACTACACCCCAGAAAGGAGAATATTTTGAGGTCACATGCACTGTGCAATCAGAGCCCCTGGCTTTTGTTGGCAATTTAGATTTCAAAGAATAAAATGAAATGAAAAACTTCAGTTCTCCACTGCAGCAGTGACAGTTCCCCTACTCAGTGTGACAAGACAGCTCAGGAGAGGCAAACTGTCACAGAATTCCATCAGATGCTGGTGAAACAGTGGCATAAACTCGAGATCTAACAGGAGTTTGTCTGGATCTCTCTCTCCATTGAGTGCTGGGAACTGAACCCAGGACCTCATGCTAAGAGGTGACACACCTCAGCCCTGGACTCTGAATTTCTAAAGGAAGAAAATTCGCTTTTCTTCTTTACACCCATCCCAGGGCATATGTGCTAGAGGCTCAGAGAGCACTGTTGTCCTCACAGATGTGGGTTGACAGACCTGAGCCTGTGGGTAGTACTGAGGGGCTCTCAGAAGGATGCTCGGAGCAGTGAGATATCCCACTGAGCAGCCATGGAGAACTGGATCTCTCTAGACCGAGAGGAGCAAGTCACCTCTCCAACACTTATCAGACCGCCTGGGTCTTGCTTGTGTTCTCATCCTTCTTTCCTGAGAGCTGGGGAAAAGGCCCACGAACTTGCTCTGGGTGCTGGCACGCCAGGCAGCCCATTACTCAGGCTAGACAGGGAACACCGTTCCCTCCTGGGGAAGAAAGTCTGTTTCCCTCTGCTTTGGTGTAATTACGAGCCAGCAAGTGCTCTTGAACTTTGGGGCTGTATATTTTGGTTTGATTTTTTTTTTTGGCAGGTGGAGAGGGGGACGTGGAGTTGAGGCTTTGGTGGTGCTCAGGGCTAGTCCTGACCCTGTGCTGGAGTATCACTGGATGGTGCTTAGGAGGTCTCATGATGCTTGGGATTGAACCCAATTCTCTAACATGCAAGAGCATTGCCCCAGCCTGAGTAGATTTTCAATATGTATCACTTGGCTGTTTGCTGGCCCAACTGCACTAATGTCTTCTAAAAGCTCATTCCTACTCTCTCAGGCGTGCTTGGCCTTCCCACCTGTACTGCAGGGCAAGCCGGAGTGCCGTGGCATTGGACTCGTACTTCCCGACCAGCATGCTCATTCTCTCCGCATTGCTTTTGCATTCATCCAGAGTTATGGTCAGGAGGTCATTCTGGGATTTGAGGTGTTCAATACGGCTACAAAGGAAGAGGCATCACATTCACAATTTCACACTAGGATTAAAATGGAATGAATTTAATATTTTAATTGCCAAGTCTAAATTCAGCCTAGAAAATGCATGTTAGGATATGTCTCTCAGATGTTTTAGCAAATATCACAAACACAATGTTGTAAAGAAGCATTGCAAATGAAGGAAAAGTATCACTAATGGATTAGAAACCAGGAGAGAGGCCCTGGTTATTCCCCGCCCCCCTGTGGCAGATCACGTGCCAGGTGACTGATGTTAACAGCCTGCATCCTCAGCTGCATGACATCAAAGGCTGGTGCGCTGTGCTAAACCATTCTGCACATGGACACTGAGAAGACAGCAGAGACAGCTACTGCTCATTCAGCAGGTGCTCAATGGCCTCCGGGTCCCTGTTTCTCAGAGGAAGAAACAGACATTCAGAAAGGGAGCAAACTCTTTCATCCTGGGAGTCAGACCTCTACTGCAACCTCAGACTCTGTACTCTGAACTGCTTATGGCAGTGGTTAGTAAACTACACATTTCACTTAAGCGGAAGATGAGCAAATGGGTGCATGAACAAAAACTGGCCTGTGATGTCTTAAAATGAGAAGATCATGTAACCACGATCATGTCGAAAGTTCCTACACTTGCTAACCACTGGTGGGATAGTAAATGAGAGCTTTATGTTTCATGGGAATCAGAACTGTAACTTTTGAAAAAAAATAATTTATGGCAAATTTAGAAATACACAGACATGGGATTGGAGCCATAGCACAGCAGGTAGGGCATTTGCCTTGCAAGCAGCCGACCTGGGTTGGATCCCCAGCATCCCATATGGTCGCATATAGTTCCCTGAGCACTGCCTGGAGTTAATTCCTGAGTGTAGAGCCAGAGTATCCCTTGAGCATCACAGGATGGGACCCAAAAAGGAAAAAAAAATAATTACAAGAAACACAAGGACATTCAAGGACCTTCAGGGTTTTTTTTTTTTTCTTTTTGGGTCACACCGGGTGATGCACAGGGGTTACTTCTGGCTCTGCACTCAGGAATTACTCCGGGCGGTGCTCAGGGGAACATATGAGATGCTGGGAATAGAACCTGGGTCGGCTGCTTGCAAGACAAGCGCCCTATCCACTATGCTATCACTCCAGCCCCACAGACATTAGGTTTCTAGTTATCTACTCTAGGACACTGATGTCTTAAATGTGGTGATTATTTTCCTATGGGAGAGGCCCATATGTAGAACCCTAACTAGTCACGGTCACGGTCACGGTCCTCCCATTGTTCATCGATTTGCTTGAGCGGGCCAGTAATGTCTCCATCGTGAGACTTGTTGTTATTGTTGTTGGCATATGGAATACGTCACGGGTAGCTTGCCAGGCTCTGCCGTGCGGGCGAGATACTCTCGGTAGCTTGCTGGGCTCTCTGAGAGGGGCGGAGGAATCGAACTCAGGTGGGCCATGTTGGCTGGGTGCAAGGCAAATGCCCTACCGCTGTGCTATCGCTCCAGCCCCCAGAACCCTAACTGAGCTTTCTTAAAAGGAAACAGGGTTTCACACACATAATGAATGGAACTCTTGAGAAGCTAAGGGCTTGTTTGTTTTGAGGTAGACCTCAGGAGCAAAGCACTTCAGAATGTAGTGCTGGCTCTTTTAAGATGACCCGTGACACTGACAGGCAGCTTCTTCCCTATTGGTCCATGGTCCTCAGGAGCACTGCTGGGTAGTATTTTGGATTTAATACTAAACCATTAAATTTCAACTCGAGATCACATTTCTTTAGTTCCCATCTGTTATATTAAATAGCTCAATCAGGGAGGATATATCCTTCCTATGTTCCCCTAGTAGATCAAGGCAGACATGCCACACATGGATGCGATTTCATAGGATCTCATGTTGTTGTGGGGCCAATTCCATGTCAGAATTGTGGTTTGGCCTTGCGCCTTCTCCTCTGCTTTCTTAGCAGTTCTCACTACTGGGATGATACACAAGCCAGTCTTGGAAAACAAGCAGGAGTGTGAACCCAACTACTTCTGTCTAGTAGTTTGGAAAGAACTTATAAAATTGCGCATATGGTAAAAATTCTTCTAAGCAGGTTAGGTAGACTGCCTTTCAAAATAACTCTCAGTAGGAGTAAAGCTGGGATGAGGAGAATGGGGGTTCCCCACACCCCCTCATTTGCAACAAGCAGAGATGAAGTCATGTGGTCCCAAGTAGGGAGGGAGAGTGGAGAGGGCTACGCCACACACTGCTAACCCAGGATGCCACACTGCCTCTATGGGTTCCAGGCGGCTTTAAAGATGTGCTCAGATGCCAGGACTTTGAGATTCCCAGCAACACAGGCTGCAGGACCCCACCTGGCCCCGTGTGATCTCCTTGTCATCCTGTAAGGACTGCTCTTTGGGCTTGTGACATAACAGTCATGGGCAAGGCAAGACAAAATGGTTCACACATTATTCACAGCTTAGCACAGAGACAGCAGAGCAGCAAAGCACACCTATGGGTCTCTAGGCGGTGGTGTCCGCCGTACCCCCTTTGCTCCATGTGTGGGATGTGCAGGTCAAACCTACATGAAGGCAACAATGACAAGCTATGAGCACCTTCCGATGAGAAAGACGGAGACTGTCACACACTAATCTAGCACATACTATCTAAAGCTCCAGTCAACGACAGGTGGCCCAGGCAGTAGCTCAGGTGTAGTAGGCACTAGCCCCTAGGTTTGTACAGTAATGCTCTGTGACATTCTCACGCCAACAGGTCCTCACAATGCATTTCTCAGAACATATCCCTAGAACTAACAGCATGCTATTCTACACAGCTGGCCAAGCTGCACTGACCTTTGGACAGGAATGGGAAAGACACCCCCACTTCCCTTGTAACATGCAGCATTTTTTCTTACCTGTTCAAACGCTCTGTTTCAACCTCAAACTCTCGAATTTTGCTCTCTGAGATGGCGGAACCGTGGGAGTAGAGTGTTTGGAAGATCTCTTGGATGTTGGAGCAGTCTTGAAGAGAGTGGGCCAGGTGTTCTGCTACGCTGCTGGACACCTGCATAAGTAGGTGAGCATGGATTCCTCTCTGGACAGTGACCCCACAGAAAGCAGGGCCCCGGGACATGCTCTGCATGCATAATGGTTCAAAGCGGATTATTCCTTGGGACATCAGGCACAAGGAAATTGTTACCCTGCAAATGTGATTCTGGTATAGAAAGTTATGTACTGTGAAAATAGCCCATAGGCAGATCAAAATGCAGCAACACCCTTTCAGCATGCACCGTCGGCCAGCAGGTACAAGGCCTCTTTAGAATCCCTTTTTTGGGATATCAAACAGAATCTGCACTGCCCTCTGTCATAAGTCCCTCTCCTGGAGGCTAACTCTGGGGGCTGTAGCCAAGGACAGCAAGCCCTCTGCCTTCAATTCTTTACTTCCATGCCTTGGTGCTGATACGGAATCTCAGTGTGTGCCATGATTGTTGGCTCAGTGCAGAACTCAGGAGTTCTTCAGGCTTTCTCCACCCTTGAGGCTCAAAAGATTGGCACTTATAGCCTCGTCCTCATCTTCAAAGACACTCCCTATGGAAGACAAACTACTCCATTTCACCTTCCTTCAGTACCCAGAGCTTCAGGGGGCCCATAGATGCTTCAAACGAAACTGTGAGGTTGAGCAAGAAGGTGCTGGCTGCACTTCACGGGCTCCTTCCCTGAACCGGAACCTGCTCCTCTCACCAGCGTGTGCAAGGCAACGCCCTTTCAAGGAGCTTCACAGCTCAGTCTCTGGGGTAACAGGGCAACATACAGTAACTATTTCAAAACTTTCATCTATGGCACCAAAAACTAGACCTACACCATTTCTTTCTAACTAATTTCAAGTTAGAGGAACATGGAAAAACTTCCCCTTAAGTAACGATGAAATAATTTTTCATGATGTACTTTAGTCCCATACTAGGGAGAAAACCAAGTATGGTTAATTATGATAATGAACAAGTTTACTGGAGGTGAACTTGGGAAGTTCTTCTCTCAGCTACCCCTGGCTATGTACACCTGCTGGGCACTTTCTAGCCATGCTTCTCAGGAACACTCACCCCTATGCTGCTAATTTCTGAGCCCAGGATGGGCCGATCAGACGATGAAGATTCTGACCTGGTCTTTGACAACTTCACCCTCTCAGCAATCTTAAAAAACAAAACAAAAAATTATCCAAAACCGACAAGCTGTACCGCAGATAAGACTTTGTTGTGACTATATATACAAGGGTACTGTTTAATCAGAGCAAGGAACCCATTCATCATGTCTTAAAAGCAACTCCAGTGTTTCTCTTGACTAGAGGTATTCCAACTTCAGGATTAGAGAGACATTCTGGCCTGGATAATTTTTTGGGGGGTGGGAATGGGGGAGGGAGCAATTCTGGGTGTTGCTGCACCTGCAGTCTCCCTGCTCCCACCACAAGGCGCCTGTGGGGCTCCAGCTGTGACAGTCAACAGCGTTTCCAGGCACCACTGAATAGCTCCTGGTGGACAAAATTCCCTCTGGGCTGAGACATACTGATCTGACCTATCTCTTGCTGAACTTGAGGGTTGAGATGCAGCCTTCTGTCAAGAGGACCAATGGGCAGTCTGTCTGGAGACCCCACATAGGAGCTACTGGGCTCCACCCAAAGCTGCCAGCGCTTGCCCAGAACAACCCGCTTTCCCAAGAGCCGGCTCCTCTAAGAGGGAACATCAGCTTGTGACTCTGGAAGTCCCCATCCCAACACTGGGGGTGTGGATTTCAGATCCTGAGAATGACTCTTCACCCAGGCTAGTGCGTTATGGAGCCAGACAAACTGGTTCATTCTCTACAACTGCTTGTCAGCGTCAACAGGCTTTAGTCAGCTGATTAATGGGAGGCTGCAGCTGAGACTTAGGGCTCTTAGTGGGATGTCCCTACTTGTAGCCCCCAAGGGGGAGACCCTTTCCTGGTCCAGAAAACTGGGTGCCTGCACAGCAGACCGCACTCAGCAGAGGCGACTGCAGTCTCAGCTCTGGGCGCTCACCTTGGCGATGGGAAAGTCGTTGCTGCTACTGCTCGTGCTCAGCTCTCCAGTGCTGGGGTTGACTGGACGGTTGGTGGAGGTGAGGCGGCCAGGGCTGGAGGGCCCCGTGGCCTGCACGCTCTGGAGCCGGGTTTGAAGTTCTCGAACCTGAAACAAGAATGCCTTCAGGCACACATATCTGGTGGTTTAATCAGCTGGATGCCACTGTGCTTTCACTGTAGTAAAAGTTGGCTGAGCCACATGAACATCCCGTATTGTGATCATTTTTCTGTTGTTACAGTGCTGGGGCAAGACACATGCCTTGCTGCTGAAACACATCACTGGCCCTGAAATAACCATCATAAAGAACACTGATTCATGGTGCTGCACCAGCTTGATGCCAACCTGCAGACAGCCCAGAATGCGAACTACATTCTCTTGGAACTTGGGGCTCAGAAAGGAAGAAAGACTAACACAAAACACGCTAGCACTGTAACATTTATGCATAATCTCAGGAGGCAGAACAGGGAGGGTTGTGATTTCATCTGCAGTCCTTGGGAAGGGTCAGGGAGAAAGGACTGAAACAGAACCCTCTGTTTGTTACTGGGCCACACCTGCTGCTGCTCAGGGATTAATCTTGGTGGGGCTGGGGTGGAGTGGGGCATATTGAGTGCTGGGGATCAGATCCAGGTCAGCCACATGCAAGGCCAGTGCCCTATTTGCTGTGCTACTTCTCAGCCTGGAACAGAACCTTGTCAAGTGAAGCGGGTCACAGTTGGCAAAGGGGTATTCTAGGTGAGTCAGGGCAGAGGGAATAGCTTGCACGTGAGTACAGGCATCAGAGTGACTAAATGTGTTTAGAGAGCTGCAAGCGATTCCAGAGAAGCTGTGTGGAGCAGGCTCTCCCCCAGGAAGGGGAAGGAGCGAGTAGGAGAGGCCCCGTGCTCTGGCATGGCTTTCCTTAGAGACCTCAGCCAGTTCCTCCCCTGGAATGTTTGGGAACATAGATATGAAACAATTGGAATCACATTGGAAGCACTTAGGATTACAGTTAAAACATATTTACCTGCACATAATTTAATACTTAAATCCTGTTTTCGACAGTTATGGCTCAGTGACTTCCAAAGGATTCCAAGTAAGTGCAAAACTTTGTCAAAAATGGGCTTTTCTGATGATCTTGACTACTAATTTATCTCTGGGCACAATGTCTATCTGGAAGGGCCCTAAAACATACACTTCCTAAAAAAAAAAATACACTTCCTACAGGAAGAATCAGTGCTGGAGGGTCAGACCATAAGTTTTTCAAATGTGTTGCTGCAGCAGAGCACAGAATCACTAAAGCATTAAACTCTGTTTGAGTGGTAAAACTTCGATTTCAGGGCCCCATGCCCAGCGCTCTGGCCTGGTAGGTCTGAAGGAGGCTAGAATCCACACCTCTAATACACTCAGGAACTGGTCTGGTGATCAGGTGTTGATCACGCCTTGAGAGCAGGACCTCAGATGCTCCCAGGCTGGGCAGTCAGGAGACAGGAAACAGGAGGCTCCAAACCCTCTCTAAAAGAAATGCTATTTAATAATAAATATCTTGGGTGTTTCTCCCTTGCTAAACTGGGAACCAAAAGTAATTGAATTTTCAATAATTCATCTACATATTAGATGCTAAAATAGGAACATCCCCTCTGAGAAAATTGCACTCAATAGTGAAACAGCCCAAACAGAATGCTCTGCTGCTGTGGCTTCCAGTACCAGGAGTGAGGGTGAAGGAACCAGGGGTTGTCTAACATGCCAGATAGAGCTGACTTCAAAACAGTTTTAAAACTAGAAACACACATGGGGTTGGAGACAAATGGTACTGCCAGAGAGAGCTGATGGCTCCTTATAGAAGAGCCCCTGCCAGGGAGAACAGCTGGGGAGCAGCTGCAAGGCCCAGGGCACACCCCTGTGCAGGACAGAATCCAAGGCATGGCTGTCAAGTCTGGTGAGGTTCTGAAAAGTGGCCGAGAGGGTAAGAGTGTTCTGAGACCTTAACTGTTCAGAAAGGATCAGTGGTCTTCTCAAATCCCAACTGGCTCACTCATCTCACTTTTAAAAACAAAATTATGGGGCCAGAGTGATAGTGCGGTGATAGTGCTTATCTTGTATGTCGCCATCCTGGATTCAATTCCCAGCATCCCATATTGTCCCCCCCAAGTCCTGCCAGGAGTGATTCCTGAGCACAGAGTCAGGAGTAACCCCTGAGCACCTGCAGGTGTGCCCCCTCCCCAATTTTTTTGAACTGGGCAATTGATAGAATTTACATTTAAACAGCCCATGGGTTTTTTTTAAATATGATTTTTAATATAATTTTTTAAAAAATTATTGAATTACTGTGACATACAGTTACAAAACTTTCATGTTTGAGTTACAATTACACAATGATCAATCACCCATCCCTTCACCAATGCACATTCCCCACCACCCATCTACCCAGTATTCTGTCCCTCCCCCATCCCACCCTCCCTCCTGCCCCCGTGGCAGACAATTTCCCCCATACTCTCTCTCTACTTTTGGGTATTATGGTTTGCAATACAGATGCTGAGAGGCCATCATGTTCGGTCCTTTATCTACTTTCAGCACACATCTCCCATCCCGAATGCTCCCTTCAGCACTCATGGACTTAGTGATCCCTTCTCTATCCCAGCTGCCTTCTCCCTCCGCTCGTGAGGCAGGCTTCCACCATGGAGCAATCTTCCTGAACGGCCCATGTTTAAGAAAAGTGTTTCTTGGGCCTGGAGGACCAGTGAGGCCCTGGGTGCCTGCCGACAAGTAGCCTACCATCTGACATCCAGAGTCCGGCTGGCTCACAGGTGCCACACAGTCTTGCCAGCTCCGACAGTGCAAGTGCTTTCCAGTCCCTACACGGAAGGCGACAGAGAGCTCCTGGAAAGGGGCACGGGCCTGGTTAGCACTGTAACTAAAAGGATGTGCAAGGGCCTTGACCAGAAGTGTGGCTTCTGGAATGCATGTGGATGAGCACCCCAACCATGACCCAGGGACCCCCACTAGGAGTGTGACCCAGGAGAGCACCATGTAGAAGAGTTGGCAGAGCACCGAGGCTGAGTGTGCAGCACGACAACCTCATGCTGGTGAGCACCAGAGGCAGCTTGTCTGCCCCCTTGGGCATCATAATAAAAAGTGACAACAAAGGGAATACAGGGAAAATACAAAAAACAGCACGCGCAGCAACAGACATTGAACCACTAGTCAAACATGTCTGCTGAATGGCCAGAGCAGTGCGTTCACCCCAGGGCATGTGCATCTGCACACTGGCACCCAGGTGCCCTAGTTACATCCTAAATCTTAAAATCTTTTGTTTGTTTTTGGGCTTTTGGACCACACTCTGCAGTGCTCAGGACTTAACTCCTGCTTCTGTGCTTAGGGATCGCTGCTGCTGGGCTGGGGATACTGTACATGGCATCAGGGATCAAACTCAGCTTGGGCATATGCAAGACAAGCTCCCTACCCATGGCACTATCACTCTGGCCTCTAAATCTTGAAGGCTTTGGACCCAGCAAGCCTCTCTGAAAACTGAAAGATGCTAAGCATGTTTATCTTGAGCTGTGCTCATTTAATGATTACTGTGAAAAGAATTTAGAAGGAGAAGGTGCCTTGTTAGAACGTTCACTGTGTCCTCCCCCATCAGAGCGGATTAAGTTGTAACCTCTCAGAAGACATGTCCCAATTCAAGCCCTAGGACCTGTGGATGTGACCTTACTCTGAAACATGGTCTTTGTAGATGGAATGGGGTGAGGATTTCCAGATGAGATCACTCGAGATTCGCAGTCTACCATCCGACATCCAGAGTCCTGCTGGCTACAGGTGCCACACAGCCTTGCCAGTTCCGACAGTGCAAGTGCTTTCTAGTCCCTACACGGACGGCGACAGAGAGCCCGTGGAAAGGGGTGCAGCACAGAAGAGTAAGGGCTTGCTGTGCAGCAGGCTGCTGATCCCAAATCAAGGGCATCAGGGCCTCACCTTTCCTAATACAGTCAAGGAGCTCTTACTGAAAGAAACGGAGTGAGGCTTTCTGTCTACACGAGATGCAGTATGGGGACAGGGGTCACCAGGGGACACAGTCTAGGTTGGGGGGGTCATTATCATTATAGCCTTATTTACTGCTAAATAAGGGGAGGTCATATAAGGCAGTGCTCAGGGCTTATTCCAGGCAGGCTTGGGGTACCGTATGGAGTTCCAGGGATTGAAGCCAAGTCAGCTCTGTGCAAGGCAAATGCCCTACCCACTGTACTACCTCAGCCTCAATTTTTATTTTTAAAGTTCTACTTTTATTTAAAAAATTGTATTTTTATTGAATCACCATGAATTACAAAGTTATTAATACCAGTTTTCATTTCCCTTCACCAGTGTCTCCAGATTCTCTCCTAACCCTCAGCCTGCCCCATGGCATACACCTTTTTCTTTTTAGGCTGTTCTCCCGTTGTTCATTGATTTGCTCGAGCGGGCCCAGTAACATCTCCATTGTGAGACTTGTTGTTACTGTGTTTGGTATATTGAATACATCACGGGGAGCTTGCCAGGTTTTGCTGTGCAGGTGCGATCCTCTTGGTAGCTTGCCGGGCTCTCCGAGAGGGGCGGAGGAATTGAACTCGGGTTGGCCATGTTGGCCGCGTGCAAGGCAAATGCCCTACCGCTGTGCTATCACTATGGTTTACAACATTGTTATTGATAGTAGATACATGTCACTTTATCTCTTTTAGCACCCAGGTCTTGTCTAGAGTGATCACTTATCTCTATCATTGTTGTAGCGGTCCCTTCCCTGACCTATAACCCCCCATGCAGCAAAGCTTCCTACTGAGGATCAGTTCTCCTGTTATTTGTTTCTATTGCCTTTGGACATTAGTTATTCCCCCACTATAACTATATCCTGCAATGAGTGAGGTCATTCTTTTCAGCCTTTTTACAGTGCTTATTTTTTGGCATGGCCTTAGATATGTGAAGAGATCCAAGCAATCATGGGAGACTGGACATGGCACTTTGTCTCCTGGAGAGAAACAAAACAGGTGACACAGGCAATTACAAAGGTGACTTTGTAGATGGAGGAGCATTACGGGAAACAGAAGGGTTCTCACTGATGGCCCTTTGTTTCTCTAAGAAAAAGAGCTCAGTTTCAT